ATGGCACCGTCATTGGCGACCACGTCTTGGCTCCAGGATGGACAAGCTATGGCCATCGTCTACTTTATCAGACGTTTGATGTCACTTCAAATCTGAGCACTTCAGAGGACAGCAGACTTGAAGTTACGGTTGCAGAAGGTTGGTTTTGTGGACGTCTTGGCTGGGGTAAAGGAAGCAGAGATTGCTACGGAAGCAAGATGGGTCTGCTTGCCAACCTCCGGATGGAATACGAGGACGGGAGCAGTGAGACCATCACCACAGATGAATCTTGGACATATGGCTATGGGAATCTTGTCGCTTCTGGAATCTACGATGGAGAGACGTGCGATCTTCAAGAGTCAAGTACGCAAAACGAGGAAGTTGTGTGCCTTGATCCACCAGTCAATGTCTTACGCTCACCAGACAGTCCTCCCGTACGCCGCACTGGAGAGCTCAAGGTACAGCAGATCATCACTACGCCCTCTGGAAAACAAGTTCTCGACTTTGGACAGAACTTCGTTGGTGTAGTGCGTGTCAAAGTAAATGGTCCTAAAGGCACTGCAATCACGTTCCGCCATGCCGAAGTTCTGGAGCGTGGCGAGATGTGCATAAGAACTCTCCGATATGCAGTGGCGATTGACACTCTCATTCTTGATGGCTCGGATGCCGTGGAGTGGGAGCCGAAGTTTACCTTTCACGGCTTTCGATACGTCGAAGTCACGGGCTGGCCAGGGCCCATAGACGCCAATGATATCGTCGGTGTTGTTCTGAATACCGACATGGAGAGGACTGGTCATTTCGAAAGCTCGAATGCTCTACTGAACCGGCTTCATGAAAACGTGGTCTGGTCTATGAAAGGGAACTTCCTCTCAATCCCGACTGACTGTCCGCAAAGAGACGAGCGTCTGGGTTGGACTGGAGACATTGCAATGTTTGGAGATACGGCCAACTTCCTGTACGAAACTTCTGGTATGCTGGGGTCCTGGTTGCGAGATGTCTCATATGAACAGATGGATCGTCACGGTCTCGTCCCGCTCACCGTGCCTTTCATCATCAAACGCGGCGACGAAGAAGCTCACGCTGTGTGGGGCGATGTCGCCGTCATACTCCCTTGGTCACTCTATAGATACAGTGGTGACGCAGAGATCTTGAAACGTCAATACGAGAGCATGAAAGCATGGCTGGACGTCATACCACGCAAGGCGAATCGTCTTTGGAACTATAAATCGCCTTGGAAGCTAGGAGACTGGCTGGACCCTGCGGCGCCTCCTGATAATCCTGGGAATGCGACGACTGATCCAAATTTTGTTAGTGATGTCTTTCTGCTACATGTCATCGAGACTATGGTGCAGGCGTGTTGTGCATTGGAGAAGCAAAGTGAGGCCAACGTGTATGCCGACGAAGCTGTCGTGGTGCGCACAGCAATCAAGAACGAGTACGTAACTCCAAGCGGACGATTGTCTCCCGACACGCAAACGGCGTATGTCCTTGCACTACACTTCGGGCTCCTTAACGAGGAACATGAAATATCGCGAGGCTCGTCCAGATTAGAAGAACTTGTTCGTCGCAACAGTCACTTCAAGATTGCCACTGGCTTCGCAGGGACTCCGTTCGTTGGCCATGCCATGTCGAAGGTCGGTTTGGAAAACCTCTTCTATCGCATGCTTTTGCATCGCAAGTGTCCAAGCTGGCTGTATCCTGTCACTATGGGCGCCACCACGATATGGGAGCGCTGGGACAGTATGCTTCCCAACGGCGATATCAATCCTGGGCAAATGACAAGTTTTAATCATTATGCTCTTGGAGCCGTGGCTGACTGGATGCACACCAATATCCTGGGCTTACGTCCTGCTTCTCCTGGATGGCAGAATGTGATTGTTGAGCCGAAGCCGGGTGGAAATCTGGCGTGGGCTCGGGGTTCTTATAAGACGAGATGCGGTGTGCTGAAGGTGACATGGAAAGTCAGCAAGGATGAAAACACAGACGGAAAAGTGTTGGAGCTGAAGGTTGTGGTGCCGGGAAATACGACGGCCGAGGTGAGGTTGCCACATGCTGGTCCCATTCATAAAGTCGGTTCTGGCAAGCACTTCTGGTCGGTGCCATACGTGCCCGACCCATGGCCTCCGAAGGCATGGTTGCCTCGGGATATGGACCCGAATAGTGAGGAGCTTCCGGAAGATGAAGCACTCCCTTTTCCAGGTTGGGACTGAACGTGATTGTGAGAAAGCTTTGGAATATTGAATTTGAAAGTCACTCGTTTCCAGATGATGTTTGACCGAAATTCACATGTCCACGCAAACACCAGGCTGATGCGCCGCGCTCTGCCTCTGACGCCTCGTACCCCGTTCATGTCGTTCCTCCAACCGCTCTCATGTCAAGTAGTATGACCTACAATTTCTCATGAGTTGGTGATTTGCAGGACTCAAAATGAGCGTCTGGAGAGCGACTTACGTCTAGCTTGAGCATCTCTCAGGCACGATTGCAAATGACCTCGACCCCCGAGACAATCTTGCTCCGCTCCACGCTCAATGGCGAGCTCGAATTGGTGCATCCGAACGACACGCCAGCTTGGCTTGTGCCATCGGTGTACACCCACGATGGCGTGCACAAGACTTGAGTGATGTCGAGATTCGGAGTGAGTGAGGCCGTGAGGTACAGGCGATCGACGTACTGGTTCTGAAATGGGATGTACTGAGGAGTGAAGATGGTGGTGATGAGCGTGTTGTTGGTCGAAGTGATGCTGGGAGATGTGTTGGTGACCTGGACTGCGAGGAGGGCGCATTGCTGCTCGGCTGGACAATGGTAGGTGTCTGGCTGTGGCATGGCCATGGCTGTGGTGGTGAGCGCGAGGATGGCGCCGATGATCTTGGCGATCCTCATGGCGAGGAGATGGAATTGATGAAGCTAGGCTTGCTCTTCTTGTTGACTGGCCCGATGTGGTCTTCTTGTGGTCGGGTTGCTGTTGCTGTTATTGTTGTGGGTGTTGTTGTTGAAGAGTCTGAGAGAGAAGCTTAACCAAGTCGCTCCTTCCGGATAGTATCATCACACGTCACTATACACGCTTCCACGGGTCGTCACCCTCACCTGCAACTCCCGTCACTTGTCTAACTTCTTCAAGCTGGCCAACATTGAATTCACTCCCACTTTGCAACGGCACGGCACGGCGCAACAATGGCGGTGATCGAGACACTCCCCGGAGTGACAGTCAGCGTGGCGACGAAGGGCCAAGCCCTGCAAGAGTACCCGGACCAAGGAGAGAAATGAACGAAGGCCTGAAATTCTGCGTGTATGTCGACGGCCAATACGTGCAGAGCAGGTTGATCCACCGCGATACAGTCGGGCCCGGCGGTTGCACGAACTCGGTCAAAGGCTTTCACTGCTCTGAAGGCCTCAGAAAAGAGTTCTGCTTCGCCGCTCTTCGGATAGGTATCGATCACATCTTGCAGGACCCTACACAGACGGTGGCCATTGACTGAAGAGGCTGGAAGGAGGCGTGTTCAGAGCGAGTGTCGCCATGAGCGTTTTTCGCGACGCATTACGGAGTATGGCATAGAGTGTGCACGACGGTCGAACAAAGAAGTAGCAGCATGCTGGACTGAAACAGCGACATTGCTGTGTTGCCGGCGTTCGAAAAATTACAGGATGATGTCCACGATTATTAGACTTGATGTCGTTTCTGCTTGGCAAGCCTCGCGTCGAGGCAATGAACTCTACTCCCAATGCCTCCCTCCCCTCGATTCCACACCTCTCAACTTCAGCTTCCACCTCTTCAGTGATTGTTAGGCAATGTCATGCGATGCAAGAAGCATTCAAATTGCAAAGGACCATCGATTGTGGCTTGGCTAAAGCATGCGCAGCTCAGCCTCTAGGCCGTGCAGATAGCCGCCAGAGCTGCAGCTGAAAGCTCTGGACCCAGAAAGGCTGCTGAGCTGGCGTTTCTCTCATATGACTTCCTCGACTTTCCTATGTCCTGGCCATTTGCCTGAGTTACTCACATCTCTCCCAGTCTTTCTACGCTGAAGTACAATGGGCGACCGCATAACCCACATCACCGGTAACAACGCCTCAGGCAACTCACGCCAACACAACGGTAACGTCTTTAGCGGAAACACATTCAACTACGGAGCCTCACCCACTCCATCCGAACCCCAAGCCCGCCTCGCAGACGATGGTCCCAAATCCCGCCCACCAGACCTCGCAGCCGGCGCCCGACCGCGGACCTTGGACGATTTCCGCATCGCCATCATCTGCGCTTTACAAATCGAATTCGACGCCGTAGACATCCTCCTCGAAGAAGTATACGAAGGAGAAGACGCATTCCGACCACGCCATCCCGACACAAACACCTATACTTTTGGCAGATTGGGCGGGAAACCCGTCGTGCTCGTCAACCTCCCATCCATGGGAAAAGTCAGTGCAGCGACGGTAGCCACAAATTTAGGAATCACTTTTAAATACATCGAAATCGCATTTCTGACGGGAATTTGCGGTGGTGCTCCACACGACGATCGAGGAAACAAGATTCAGTACGGTGATGTGATTATCGGGAAACAAGTGATTCAAGAAGATTTCGGGAGGTTGATGGATGATGGAATGCATAGGAAAACAGAAGTCGAAGATGTGTTGGGAAGATTACCGCCCCGGATCAGGCAATGGATCGGTGCGTTGAGTGGATGGAGGAATTTGAAAGGTTTGAAAAGTGATGTGACGGTGATTTTGGAGAAGACGTTTCAGGATGCGGAGTTTGTGAAAATGTTTGCGTTTCCGGAACGACGGGAGGGGGAAGTTGGGAGGTCGGAGTTGCAGATTTTTTTGGGGAGGGTGGCGACGAGTGATGCTGTGCTTAAAAGTGCGGAGAGGAGGGATCGGATGATTGAGCAGGATAAGGTGATTGGGTTTGAGATGGAGAGTGCGGGAATGTGGGATCAGTTGCCTACGGTGCTTGTCAAGAGTGTGTGTGATTTTGCTAATGTGCAGAAGAGTAAGGAGTGGCAGCCTTTTGCGGCGCTGACGGCCGCGGCGACTACGCAGGCTATGGTTAGGAAATGGACGTTTCAGGTTTATAGTTGATGAATGTGGTATGAAGAAGCTCAGATCAAATAAAAAATAGCACGCCAGGAAAGCATCGAGGCTGCCGTCTAGCCTTAAGAGCATTCGCGAACGCAGCTCTTTTTGCTGGAGCTCGCTCTCCGACTTCGATGCTGTTCTGGAATCTGCAAAGAGAACTGAGTCGCGTGGTGCTTGTGCTTGCATTGGCCACGGAAGCAAATTGAAGGCAGTTTAGTCCAGGACCATAGTTGGGCGAGCCGGATTCTGGGACTTTGCTGGCCTCTGGTACTCTTGCTGGATCTCGCCATCGTCACCAAGCACGATGACAGTAGTTGGAGTCTTTCGACGATGGCCCCCAGCACGAGAAGCATTTTCACGAATCTCTTCCTTGATCCTGATCGTTTCCGCCCCTCGCTCCCTTGCAGCCGCTCTCAAGCGTTTCAACTCGGCCAATTGCTCTTCTTGAGTCATCGTCTCCAGATCGCGATCTTCGTCTTCATCTTCAGCGTCTGGCTGTCGCTCTGGTTGCGGGTCTCTCGGAATGATGCTGAGATTCTGAAGTTCGGCTCGCGAGCGATATAGAAATTCATAAGTCGCGACGGGATTATCGGGATCGATAGGGATCGCCTCAATGTAAACAGATGCACTTGCCCGAGCAGCTTCGCCAAGGCTTTCACATGTCATTAGCATGCATTTGCAGTAATTTGAAATTTGAGAGATCCTCACCTGACGCTGGTTACAATATCCTTGCCTTTGACAGAAGCCTCGTCAAGAGTGCTAACGTCGTCTTCGTGAACGATCTTCTGTCTTACCAGATTGAGAATCTGCACATGATGCACGATGATCCGAATGGAGCCCAGTTGCTCCAGCTTCTCCTCACTCAATTTGTCGTTCTTTGATCCACCTTCCTCGATCGCCGAAAATTGATATGGTCGCACCTCATTGCCCCTAGACCGAACCCCTCGACTGAGGCACGTGTCTTCGGCTGAGTAGTACGCCTTCGCCATTCTATCGTACACAAGGACTGAATCAAGCTCTTTGCCATCTACAAAGATGCACCACGCAAGACCGAATTGTGGTCTCAAACGTATCTCGTCTTCTTTGGGTGGGTCGTCCTCGCGGTATAAATTGGATGGAATGGCATGAAGGTCGGCATGAATTTCGAAATTCATGTTTGGTGCGACTTGGATGTAGCGCGTCACCGTGCTCTGCAGTCCATCGTCTTCGTTGCCGATATACTCCTGTAACGCTTCGTCGCCAACTTGGATGGTGACCGTGACATCAGGAATGCTGTCTGAGATGGCCATGATGAAGCGTGTCTGTGTGGACGCTGGTAGCGAAGGATCTGAGCAGGTTAGGTATTGCAGATGGTGGTGGAATGTTCAATGTTGAAGTATGTGTTTGAGTGCAGTTGGAACGGAAGAAACCTGCGGACAAATAGCGAGCACAAGGCAAGACGCGTCACGTACGCATGTGCGTTGCCTCACTTCGCAGCCAAAGTGAAGAAAGCGCAGGCAAGCACTCTCGAACGCTGAGTGGTATGCCCCAATGACAGGTTCTCGACATCCTCGAGCGACTCAGACATCCTTACTAGCACTTTTGTTGTCCAAAGCGAGGTGATTGCGCTGATCAGAATTGAAACGGTCAGCCGGTCAGCCTCACCAACAGACTTGAATTACTAGTCTGGAAGGCCATTCCGATGTATCTCATTATTCTCACGTGTGTGACTTTGCTTTTATCGCTCTGCAACCACTGCATGCTGGAGCTATCCTGTTGCCAGTACTTTTCGTAGTCGTTCAATCATGTCCCAATTCATCTCCCTAGCTTTTGGACCAGTTTCTCAGGCGCGATGTTAAAGCTTGACCGCCTTCTTCGCCATCTCAAGCGCACCCTCGTAAGTCTGATTGCCACCAATGAAGCCGCTCGCATGCACAAAGATGCATCCTGGGATACCAGACAGTTTACTGAGCTCCTCGTCACGCACGCCTCTCCAGTCCTCCGGCAAGCCCTTCCTGCTCTCAAAGCTGCCTGGCTCCAGGCTGACAGCACGAATCCTCCACTTCGAATTCTCCTCGCCGTTCTCTGCGAACAATGCATAAAGCACATTGCCTTGACTTCCTGTTTCCTCCTCGAGTGCATACAGATGATCAGACCAAGGCACGCCTTCTGGCGAGTAGGGAATGACGATGATGCGTCCCTCAGGGTCGACGGACTGGCGTGACTCGAATGCCTTCTTCACTATAGCACGAGCTGGAAGCCATGAAGTGATCTTGTCAGAGATTTCCAGCTCAAACTGCTCGCCGACGAAGGAGGAAGCGCGGACGAAGCGTGCGTCTTCTTCTGTCTGATCCTTGGCTTTGCTGGTGGTCATCAGCGCAGAGAGCTTGTTCGTGATAGCGGGAGTGATGGGCATGTGGTTGTATCTACTAACCACGCTTGCGATGCTGAAGCCCTTGTCGGAGAACTTCTCCTCAATGCCAGCGTTGCGCAGCTCCTGTGGGTCGTAGACGGAAATACCATTGTCGTTGGCGTCAAATGCTTCGATGAAGTCTTCGTACAGCTTTTGGTAAAGCAGGTCGACATCTGGGTTGTCGATGCCCGCGCTAGTGAGATGCGAAATGATTCTCTTGCCATAGTGCATCCACACCAGACCCGCCGAACTCAGCTTGGTGTTCTTGCGCGGGAAAGTGGCGTTGAACTCGCGCTGGTGATGGTCGTAGCGGAAAGCGCTGTCATCGTGTACGCCGCCCACGTCCACGACAATGTTACAATTCTTCAGGACTTCTGGATCTCGGGTGCGAGTGATGGTAGCATTCTGGTACTCTGGCAGAAGGCGAAGCAGATGGACAGCCAATGCCTCGTCGGCATGGAAGTGACCGCTGTGTGTGCCAATGACTGGTGCAGCGCTGCCGTTGGACATCTTGAGCTTCTTCATGGCGGGCTCAGGCTCGGACATGGATTGGCGAAGGCGAAGGGACGAGTGGAGGAGGGGGTTGGAGGCGTACAGGCGGTCGATGATGTCTTTCGGGTTTTTCGCGCGTGGTGCTGATGATGCGTATCGCAGTGCTGTAGTGACTGTCAAACGGTGGGTTGCGGTTGCTGACTTCAGTATACGCGCGCTCTGCATGGAAGAATCATGGAAATACCAGACTTCACCTCAGCTTGGTGCAGTGCAGTGGCTCACATATATTCGCGCTCACATACACCCTGATTAAGCGAGATGGCGGACGGGGGTAATCCCCGTGAACGGCAGCTAGTTTGAAAACGTTAGACGTGAATTTTTTAAAGGTGCGGATAATTCCTTCGGATAATTCCTTTAGGCAGTACGCTAGCTTTAACTAGTTAGATCCCGTTTCTAGGGATTACCCCTCTCGCTACTTCCCTAAGCCCTAGCTACCCGCCCGAGCCCTAGTAGATATACTAATATAGAATCGGCCTAAATAAGATTACGTGCTATTTCTACCTATTATATATTATATCTATTCTTAGTTAGTAGCGTAGAGCGCGTTACTAAGGAAGTTGCGCCTCGAAGTTACGTCTTAAAGTCTACTAATCTAATATTCGTATTTCTTCCCCCTTTTATAGTAGAATCCCTAGTAACTACCGAAAATAGCTAAATCTCTATTATACGAAGTATATATTAGCGAGTTTCTCGATAATCTCGTCGCTAGCGGCGAGGTAGAAATAGAGATAGAGGCAGCGGCGGCGGCGGCGGCGGTAGAAGATACTAAAGGCCCTAAAGGTGTTATTAAAGGTATTAAAGGTATTAAATTGCAGGAAGAGGTTTAATTTGTCTCGAAGATATATATTCGAGGCCGCTCGCGCTTACTATCGCTACCGCGCGAGCGTATTAATCTACTAGCTTATATAGCTAATAGGACGGCTACTTTACTACTAGGTGCTGCAATAATAGCACTATTAGTTTACTTAGTAGCAGTATTATATATAGTAGCAGGCTAGTTAGCAAATAAGGGACTAATATAAGCTAGTATATATAGTATTACGTAGTTATAAGGCTGTAGGTCGTAATCCGCTTAGACCTAAGTAGATAGCAACTAACTAATAATACCTTAAATTTTGCTATACTACTGCTTTGCTAACAAACTTTGGCTTTATAGCTAGTAGTAGTATATACCTCGATTAAGCGAGATAGCGGACGGCGGTAATCCCTAAAAACGGGATCTAACTAGTTAAAGCTAGCGTACTGCTTAAAGGAATTATCTGTACCTTTAAAAAGTTTACGTCTAACGCTTTTTGTTAGGGCTAAAGAGGCTATACGTAATTAGCATATAACTAGGCCGAGTAAAGCTAGGGTCTTAATGCCTTAGGTAGGACTTAGCGCTTAGCGTTAGGCTAACTCTCCTACCTTCCTCCCTCTCCTCCTAGATCCTTATCGAATACTATACTAATTCACTACTACCCTATCTACCTACTAATATAACCCTTCTTATATAGTATTCGATCTACCCTTTAAGGGCAGTAGCTAGATAGTCCTTATTTCAAGCTTTTAGCGGTATAGCTACAAAAACTATCGATTTAACTATATTACGCCCGAAGAACGGGACCTATACGTACTATTCTATCGAAACAACCGTACTAATTATTAAGCAAGGCCTTCTATACGGCCTATTATACTAAGTTAAGCATACTAAGCCGATATCTACTAATTCCGCTATATCCGTATCTTAGGGGCTAACAATATATTATTAGTATCGCTCCTTATAATAGCCGGTTTATTACGAAACAACAACCGTACTGCCGCTAGCAGCGCTAGTAATAACAACGCTAGTAGTATAGTTCCCGCTAAAGTGCCTACTAAAGTGCCTCCTACTAAAGAGCCTGCCGGAGAGCCTATTAAAGAAGAACCTATAATTCTAGGTAATAATCTAGAATTGCCTATTAACGACATTCTTAACAATATTGTTAATCGACGATATAGCTAGCTAGCCTTTAGCCCCTAACTAGTAGGGAGACTCTAAGAAGCTACCTAAAACAGGCTTACTGCCCTATATTAAGAACAATAGCTAAAGGATAACCTTCTCGAAATTCGCCGCCTTTAGGAGGCCCTAACAACTAATAATAAGCCGACAGCAGGGCCTTCCTTACTACTAGTCCTAGTCTAGAAGAAGGATGCTAAACTTAAGGACTATACTGTATTTAATAGCTCTAGTCGAAAGCAATATAACGACTACATTCGTAACTGTAAGCTTAACTAACGAAACGCACTAAGGGCCCTACTAAATAACTATTTACTAGTCGTCTATGCTATATAGTACATTAACGGCGACCTAAAACGCACCTAGGATAACCATTTTGACTCCCTTAATAACTAGACTGCTATTTAGTAGCAGACCTATAAAACTATTATACTAGATACCCTTAGAAACCCTATACTAAGGCAATAATACGCTTAGGACTAGTACCTTCGAGCTAAACAAAAGACTAATTAATCGGCTCGCTTATTTAAGGCCTATTTAAAGACCCTCGAAGATAACCTCCCGACTAAAACTAATTCTATCTAGATCTCCGAAATACGCCCTAAATTGAGATAGGAACTAGTCCTTAAATTGGACCGCCGCCGTGTGTTTAAATAGGCTAATCTTATACGCATTTAATTTATAGTTAAAGTCGAAACTGCTAAACGAGCTGTCTAGCTCTAGTAACGACTAGAATTAAGGATCCGACCTACTAGCAACCGTAGCAACCGTAGCCGCGGAGGAAACTAAGGTTCCTACTATAACAATAATACTAATAATAGGAATAGTAACAATAACCGTAGAAGAGGCCGTAGCCGCCGGCTATATAGAGGAGGTCGTAATAGGGGCCGTAGAAGGGGCTCGTATCCCTATAATACTAATCGCTTAACTAATAATAGTAGTAATAGCGGCTATAGCAATCCCCTAACCGGGTTGAAGTGCTTTAACTATAATAGCACTAGCTATCTACTAGGCTAATGCGATAAACCTAAGGACTAAGCCCGAATCGACCGTGCTACCGCCGAGCACTATAAGCACCTTTTAGCCGCTAATACCGCCCCTATCGGTCCTTCGAAAAAAGAATAAGCGCCGTACTAACTATTAGCCTTATACGGCGTAAGACTATCGATATTGTACTAGCTATTATACGTACCTATCTCGTATCGGATACGCATAGGACTAACTATAAGACTAAGGTTATACTAGATCTAGGAAATTTAGTTAGTGCCCTTATCAGCTATCGCCTAGCTAAGCAATTAGACCTTTAATAACTACCTAGGACTAACCTGCTAACCCTTGCTTAGTTTAATAACGCTCGGCACTTAACCTACGGAGCCTACTATATCTATATAGCCCTAAGAGACGACCTCGGCAATAAGCGCCTACTAAACTTTACTACCTACGTAGTAGACATAGATAGCCTCCTATCTGAGATTGTTATTAGCAACCCTATTCTTAAGTACTATGCTATAGTTATAGACTTAGGCAGTTAATAGTAGCGATTTAGAATCGCTAGGAAAGAGGACATTAAACATATTAATATTAGCGAGTGCCCTAATAATATTAGGGTCCTATTTATTAGCAACCTAACCCTAGCTAATCCGACGGCCGACCTACTCGGTAGTAATAACGATGAACTAGTGCCCCCTAATAGCATAGATCCTAAACAACTTAAGCGCATACTAGAACCTATTCGAGAGACCTACATTAATATGTTTAAACACTACCTAGTATCGATATTGCCTATATTTAAAGAGACGGATTATAAGATTGATATTATAGAGGGTAAGGAGGTTCCTTTTAGCCCCCTCTATAACCTTAGTAAACGAGAGCTTGCTATACTGCGTAAGTACCTAGAGGAAAACCTAGCTAATAGTCGAATTCGATATAGTAATAGCCCTGCTAGTGCACCTATCCTATTCGTACTAAAGAAGGATAGCGGCCTACGTTTATATATTAATTATAGAGGGCTTAACGCTATTACTATTAAAGACCGCTGTCTACTCCCGCTTATTAATAAGACCCTCGACCGCCTTTCTAGTACCTACTACTATACTATATTAGATATTAAGGACGCCTATTACCGCATCCGTATCCGCAAGGGCGATAAATAGAAGACAGCCTTCCGCACTCGCTATAGCTATTTCGAATACTTAGTTATACTATTTAGCCTAGCTAATACCCCTACAACATTTTAGTCCTATATTAATCGGGCCCTTTTAGGCCTATTAGACTATCTCTATATAGTTTACCTAGATAACATCCTAGTTTATATATATTTACCTAACATTGCGGAGTACTAGGCTATAGTCCGCAAGGTGCTCGATCGCCTACGAGCCTATAGCTTATATTACAAGCCTTCTAAATACACCTTTGCTATAAAAGAGGTGTTATTCCTCGGTTTCCTCGTATTAACTAAGGGTATTAAGGCTAATCCTAATCGGATTAAAACCATTACTAAATAGCCTATTCCTACGTTAATTAAGGAGCTATAGTCGTTCCTCGGTTTTGCTAACTTCTATCGCCGATTTATTAAGGGCTATTCGAGGCATATAATGCTACTAACTAAGCTTACTAAAACTAAGGCCAACCCAACTAGAGAGTTCAAATAGGCTAATAGAGTATAAGCCGCTTTTAACGGTTTAAAGAAGCGATTTACTAAAGTCCCTTTATTATACTATTTTGTACTAAACAAGCAGATCCGAATTAAGACTAACGCTTTACAGTTCGCTATATTAGCTATAATGTCTTAGCAGTTAGACAGTAACTACTACTAGCACCTAATTGCCTTCTTCTCGAGAAAGATAATTAATACTAAGCGTCGCTACGAGACTTACGAGTAAGAGCTCTTAGCTATTATTAAAGCCTTTGAGCACTAGCGCTACTATCTCGATAGTGCCTAGCATACTATTTAGGTCTATACAGACTATAAGAACCTCCGTAGCATTACTAAGGTTACTAGAGTTATAGGTCGATAGGCTAGATAGCCCGTCTACCTCGCTAGGTTTAATTTTAATATATTATATCGGCTAGGCGTAAGCAACCCTACTAATAGCCTATCGAGGCGACCTAACTACGATAGCGGGACTTAGCAATCTATTAATTCATTGTTTCTA